GCCGTGGGGGGAGGGGAGGGCTCGGGCAGCCCAGGCGCCCCTGGGCTGCCCAAGCCCCTCCGCGGCTTTGCTCTGCGTCTTCCTGGTCTGCAGACCAGGGAGACGCAGAGAAAGCCCCAGAGTACACGGGCGGCAGGACCGCGAGGTCCTGCAGTCCGTGTACTCTGGGGCAGCCCCGTTCGTAACTGCGGATCCGACATAAGTCGGGGACTACCTGTATTTAATTGATTGAATGGTGGGATTTTTCACTCTTGAGCTAGCATTGGTGCATTACTATCTGTGGCTGAGACAGTAGAAACACTAATGTAGATAAAGTGCTAGCAGCTACTACTGCTTTAGCTGCTCTCTCAGAGCAGGAGTTCTCCTCTATATTGCTCCCAGTGTGCAGCTGCTACAGTAGGAGTGCTCCCAAAAAAAGTGAGCCCACAATATTTTCCATTTAATGAAGTGGATTCTGGCACAGATGTGCCCCTCTATGACATGTCCTATTGAATCTCTCCAATTCCACAAGACTGACTTGTATATTGATCACCTTGCTCCCTGTCTTCTGCTTTCTGATTGAGTGTAGCAACCCAGCTGCTGTCTCCCTTCTGCCTCCCACGCTCTGTAATGACTGTTGTCAGGGTTTGGTGTCAACACAACTCTTGGGGCGATTGCAGGCAATTCACTGTAAAGCAGTTGCTTTTAACCATTGTGTCAGCATGGCTGTGTGCACGTACACGGCATAGAAGATGCACTTTGGACATAAGCTGATTGATCCCTTTTTATGCTGTCTAGAAGGAATGCAAAATAAACTCAAGGAATAGGTTGAGTATGACCCTATGGTGCCAATCTAATGGCTCTGATGAGAAAGCAGGGCATCAAATTGTCTTCTAAGGAGGAAACTGTCCTAGTAACTTGGCTTGTGGTTTATTTATTTGTTTTGTTGGTTTTCATTTTGGTTTGCTGGGAAGAAGAATGATGGGAAAGTGGATCTGTCCACCATTAAGGACCTGATTGAGGACTCAATTGTCAGCACCCAGCCTGCCATGATGGTGAATCTGAAGGCATGCGCTGCTGGTAGCAGTGTGGTAAGGCTCCCCTCATATTCAATGTAATTAGCCTGTGGAAGTCATTGCAACAAGAGATTACCGAGGCTGAGAGCATGACAAGAATAAAAAAGCATTAAATGTATTTGGGGAGGTTAATACTCTGAATTATGCTGCTGGCATTAAAACTACACAGCTGTGAACTCATTTTTCAGGACATAAAATGGCCGTTACCTAACAGAAATTAACAGGAATTAGAAAAAAAATGTCCCTTTGTGTTAAATCCATAACTGTCTGTAGTAGGCTTTTCCAACCTTCTTCTGGAACAGTAGGTGCTGGCCACCTTGAGATGGGAAATCTGACTAGATAAGAACATTGGGCTGATGTGGGCTGGCAGTCCTCTTAATCTTCCATGTATGCCTTGAAAGCATTGATCATCGGCAGGCTCACAGGTATCCATTCGAGTGCTCAAGGAACAGTGGAAATAGAGTCTGGGTTGAAGAGTACGGGCTGGATATGAAGAGGAGGTGGCACAGAAACAGTAATTTACTAGCTAATAGGATGTCTGACTTATTTCACCCCCACTCCCTGTTGGCAGAGTTGACTTCACTCCTGAGGGAATTCTGCACCAAAAACTAAAATGATGTGCACAATACAGATTAAGCTTCCCAAATTCAGGACTCTGGTCTGGCAAGGCCATGGATGTTGCTGAACCAAAGAGCCCAAGGAGCAGGAGCCAGACTGGAGAACTTAGGGTCTGTGGAATCCCAGCTGGGCCAGCAGTCGCTGGGCTGGGGAACTGCACATCAATGGGGCCAAGTGGTATCACCCTTCCTCCCCCCTTCCACCCCTGGCATCAGTGTGGTTATATGGGTGGAGCGCCCTTAGTGGGGGGTGGCGGTGTCCGGAGAATCCCGGAGACCTCCCTGTGGAGGGGATGGGCAGTCCTGACTGCGAAACCCCCAGTGTATCGGGGCCAAGAAGAAGCTTGGGTGCTCCGGCTGGGGAACTCTGGCAGTGGGGCCTGGTGGCCAAGTAGCCAGGGCTGGAAGGGGAATCCTTGGCAGCAGAAGGGCTGGCCTAGAGGCCCCAGCCAGGAAACCCCCCAGCAGCAGTATCTTGGGCCGCCTGGGGCTGGGGAACCCCAAGAAACCCCTGGAGGTAGCGGGTGCTGGCGGTGGCCAGGCAGTCCTGACTGGGAAACCCCTGGTGGCAGTGGGGCCAGGTACCCAGGGCTGGGGAACCCCTGGTGCAGAGGGTGGGCAGCAGGATGGAGAGCCTCAACCAGGTCAGCTTTAGCGGGGGAGCCTCAGCCTGGGGAGCCCCAGAGAGATGAGCTGGCAGCAGGGCAGCCAGCAGGGGAGCACTGACCTCCCTTGATCTGACAAACTCCCTGGTCTAGGACAACTCAGGTCTTGAGGGTGCCGGATCAGAGAGGTCCAACCTGTATTTTAAAATTCTGCAAATGTTGTCAATAAATACATGTATCTCCAGCATAGCAGTGGGTAGCACAGGCCACTGGTGCGTTGAGGTGAGAGATCACCCTGAAGCTCTGCCTCTCCTAGTTCAGGGGTTCAGTAGCCAGACTGCACCTGAAACAATGCAAGGGCTGGGCCTGCCCCCCAAAAATCCCAGAGCCGTGACCCTCTGCTCCAGCTACACCAGGTGAGGGGGGCAGGCTCAGCCTGCGGGATAAAAGTGTGGGGGAATCAGGTGTGGGGTGAGAGGTTTCTGTGTGGGGCAATCTGGGTCAGATGACTCGGTGGGAGATCTGGATGCACAGGGGCTCATTGAACAGTTCTCCGTGCAGGGGACATGGGATGCTGCCGGAGTCCAGATGACAGTGGTTGGGGCTCAGCGAGAGGGAGGTCTGGGTATGGGGAGATGGGGCTGGGTGTGTGGTTCTGTGGAGAGTCCAGGTGCTGGGGAGAGAGGGTCTTGCTGGGGTGGGTGCAGTTGGTTGGGGATCAGCGGGGTAGGGCCTGGGGGTGGACAGCTTGTTGAAGAAGTCCAGATTTAGGGAGGTAGGACTCATCAGGTGAGTGTTTAAAGGAGCCCCAGCTGCTGAGGGGATGCTGCATGCCGGACTCCCACTTCCTCCTGAGATTCGCCTGTCCCCTGTTTTTCTCCATCTCCTCCTCCTCCACTTCCCCATGACCCATTCTACGTCTACTTCCTTCCCTACTGAATCTTTCTCTCACCCCTTGTCTTATTTCCTCACCCCCCCCTTGCCCAGTCCTACATGGGCTCTCACTGTTGCACAGAAAACAAGAATGCTCCCAGCACACAGAAGGTGCAAACAGTTGGCGCTTGGGCCCAGGTGGCAGTGATGAGCTGCACAGTCAGCAAAGCCCAGGGAAGGCACAGGAATTCTGTGGGGGGAAGAGGGGAGGTCAGGGAGTGGTCCTGCAGGTGCACAGTCACACAGGATCCTCCCAGGAGTCAGACTTTTTTCCTGTGTCCAGCATCTGAAGCAATGGTGCTCCCACAGTCACTGCCCTGCAAATACTCCTCCACAGGATGTGGCACCAGCTCAGGTTCCTGAGTGGCTCCTCTGCTGTATTCGTGCCAGATATCACAAGCTGGCGCAGGACAATCAGGGATGCATATCCTACTCTGTAGCACTGATTTGGGTTTGCAGCTTCCTTCTTTTTCCCCTCTCTTAATTTTTCTGTCTGACCTCCTGTGCCCCCTTACTTCAGTCTGTTGATTGTGAAAAGGAGTTAGTGGGAGTGTTTCAGTGGGGCATCATTAATCTGTCTTCTTCCTTTCTTCCTTAGCTGCCCTGTGACAAACCATCCCATGAATCTCCGTCCAATATAGTAGCGCCTGTGGTGTCCAAGTTGCTCCTCCGGCAGATACAGGTCCTCAATTTGGGCTGGGAGGAGGAAGGAGGTAAGAAGGAAGAAACCAGTCAACCTTCTGGAGAAGTGTAAATATGTTTGACTTAGAGGGGCAAAAGACACTTAGTTCTGATGCTCTTCAGGGTTTGGGCAGGAGGGGTGTGAGCATGTCGAGCAATATCCTGACAATTAACTTGCTAGAACTCAGACGCTCTTGTCCTTATTTCCATTTTCTCTGATCTGTTTTCCCTACCTCAGGATGTGGGAAGCTGTGCTGCGTAGCGGAGCTAGACAGCCCGCTGCAGCAGAAATGGACAAAATTAGCAAGAGCAAGCATCTCCAGCTCTGCAACAGAGGTTGAGTGGAATGAAGAGCTTATGTTGTAAGGAGCCGGTGTTGGCTTTTTTGACTAAGGGATGGTTGGAGCCAGTGAGCCAGGCCTCTGGGGTTTGTTCTGGATGGGTATATTTCAGATGTCAACTAGCTAGATGCAAATGCCTTTGTACTCGTAGAAGTCGGTGTTTGTATGCCTGCTCTTTCTATCTGAGTTCCCATACACTTCTCATAGTGCAGCCCAATCCAGATGATAACTCTACATTTCACTTCTACTTTGTAGCGCTGCTGTGCTCATCCCCATGAGTCCTTTGCAGCTGTGTGAGTGCACTGCTTGTTTTGAGCAGGAGCTCTCTTCTGTCATTGCCCACAAAAAAGCATGCAGTAAATTCTGGGCCTTGTGAAGGAGTTGAGGCGGGTGAGGAATAGAGTCAGTCAGAGGAAAGGAGTTCTTGGAAGCTTTTTGGCATGTGCCAAGCACCCGGGTTCCCTCCTGATTTACCCCACGCAGAGGCTCAGAACTACTGCACACAGAGCTGCCCTGGCCCCAGCAACGAGCTACCATGGCTGGGGAAAGGCTCTCTCAAGTTCGCCTCCTGCCATATTTGGAAGAGAGGCACCCCTCACACAGCCCAGCTCAACCCAGCGTCCCTGGAGCTGCTGCAGTGAGAGAGGGTAGTGCTCCCTCAGGGGAGCCTGCACCCAAGTCCCCTTACTCTGGCCACAGCCTTCACCCTTGCATCCAAATCATCTGTCTCAGTCCTGAGCCCTCTCATGCTCCCAAACATCTTAGCCTCGTCCCAAACCCCTTACCATATGCTGAACCCCTCAGTCCCACCTGCACCGCAGATTATCCATGTACAGAACAAATTTTGCTATGTGCACCAATGTGGGAGTGATATGTTGCACATTATCTTCATATTGGTACACATAATGAAATTCATTCTGCATATGGAAACACAAACAGAAAAAGGAAACACTGCTGAGCACCAATCCCCTGTTTTTATCTTGGCAGGGAGCTGGGGCCACGAAGTAAAGAGCTGAAGCTGAGAGTACTGGGGAACAGCAGTGATGGGGAGAGTGAGTATGATCAGCCATCAATGAGACTCAGTATGGCTACAAATCACAGGATACAAGAGATTCATTCCTGGTATTGCATCAGCCCCTGAGATCTTTACAAATAAAAGGGTCGTGATATCCTCTCCTTGGAAAAGACTGATCAGTTCACAAGAACCACATGTTGAAAACAGTGTACTGCCACAACGTTTGGGGTTGCACATTCTGCTGGGAATATACAACCAACCCAAACTGTAGCTTCAACTTTATGAAAAACACTTTCTATAGTTCTCAGGTTTGACATCTTCAACCCTAGATTTTGGGCCAGATAGTTTCTCTTATTCACTTTTCTGTTGACCAGAAACCACCAAGCCATTGCTAATTTTGGCTGAAAGGAGGGGGGGGGGATTCATGATACTTGATGTCAGGTGAGCATTACAGAGAGCATTTGGATTTCAGTTGAGTTGCACCAAGCTATGTGCGAGTTGCCAGACCTCAGTTTGAAGGAACTTGCAAAACTGTCCCATATCTTCACAGAATGAGATGATGCTAATTTGATTTGTGGCTCATGAACATCAGGCCCTGTTCAGTACTTGAGCTACTGCAACTCTGAGGCTGCCTTGTGGGAGCATAGAGCTAGGCCCCAAAGGCAAAAGAGAGGGGTCTAGGCTGAGTGTGTTCTCCCTGTTGCAGATGTATTGCTGGGACATACCTCTGTTTCACTTGACTCCTGTGGCAAACAGCCATGTGGGAGACTGCTGTATTCCCTGACCCCAGGAGCTGGGCAGCTCCTGAAACCTGCGGCTACCCTCTCATTGGAGGTAAGCATATGGTCTATGAAGAGCTATGAAGTGTCTGACAGGGATGTATTGGTTAGATGATACTCCCATTTCACAAGGAACTGGATTGACACAGTGGCAGCAAACAAAGCATCTAGAGCAGGGGTGTCCAAACTTTTTTCAAAGAGGGCCAGATTTGATGAAGTGAACATGCGTGAGGGCCGACCATTTTGCCTGACATTCTTTGAACCATTAAAATTAAATGCAAATTAACTATTTTATGCAAAGTTTATTGCAAACAGCATACTTTTCATTTCGTCACATGGATGACAAATCTAAACAGGTGTTAAATCACTCTGCCTTTCATATCTGAAGGCCAGATGAAAAAAAATCCAGGAAGCTGAAATATATAGCAGCTGCGGAGTCCGTCCCTGATCTCAGCAGCTGCGGAGTCCGTCCCTGATCTCAGCAGCTGCGGAGTCCGTCCCTGCACTCTCAGCCCCAAGGTAGAGGGCTTGCAGGGTCAGAGGCGGGTGGAGAGCGCAGGGCACGCTGGCCTCACGGCGGCCCGGGGGCAGGGCGAACCCGTAGCCAAGCGGGGGAGCAGGGCTGTGGACGTGCCCTACATGGTGGACTTTAGGACCGCAGCGGCCGCCATGGACGGCGGCAGAGCGGCCGGAAGCGGCGTCAGTCAGAGGAGTGCCGGGGAGCCAGGAGAGGGGGAGGAAGCGGGGGCTGTCCCTGCACTCTCAGCCCCATAGCGGAGTGCAGGGGCAGGGTTTGGGACCGTGGCAGCGGTGGCGGCGGTGGCCCGAAGCGGCGCGCTGAGCGCGCCAGTTAAAAAAAGCACCGGGGAGCCGGGAGAAGCGGGGGGCCGTATTAAATCCGACCGCGGGCCGCATTTGGCCCGCGGGCCGGACTTTGGACATGCCTGATCTAGAGTGAAGAATGGTATTACCTTGCCCCTTAATCTCTAGCTTCCTGACAGCTGACTGAAGGAGCATTGGTAATGGATACTGGTGGCTGGCGTTCCTGGTTATAGGAAAGTGTCATTATAGCAAAGGGCTTATGTCTTCCTGGCCAATGAAGCCACTTCCAAAGCTATTGATAGTGATGTCATGGCCTTCGATGCACACCAGTGGGATCTTGGCTCACTCTCTGAGTTAGACAAAAACCAATGACTGCAAGTTGCTTGTGTGACTGGGATGAAAGAGAAGATGCCACTTCTCACGGTGTGTGGGTGGGAAATGGGGAGTGAGCTGTGCTTCCCTGTTAGCAAACCGAGAACAGTCTAAAGCTCTAAGGTCCTAGATTGCTGCTCTGCGCAAGCTTATGTGCTGAGGCCTCTTCCCATGGGCATTCTGAGTGGAAGTCAGAACTTTTTACAGCCTTTCTCACCTGATATCACCAGAGGTAGACTGTCCATGACTTATTTGCATCCTGTTCTCTTTGAAGCTGCTCTATCAAGAGTCTTCTTTGTCCCCGAGCCCCCAGTATGCTGCTTCACTGCGCACCAGCATCACCCCCACCAAAAAAATTGAAATGGACCGGACCATCATGCCTGATGGCACCATTGTGACCACTGTCACCACCGTCCAGTCCAGGCCCAAGTTGGACTGTAAGCTGGGTAAGGACTGATTAGAACATTGCACAGGGACAGCTATCTTATACTTTTCTGGTGGCTGCTTTACAAATTTGAAGTAACTCTTGTCTTGCCAGACCGAGCTAAATGCCAGAGCTGTTATATCCAACAATCCCTGCGTTATGCTCCTTTTTACAGTAGGTAAGAAGGGTTACTGTCACATCAAAGATGGAGATGGTGGTGTCAGCACTGCTGTTTCACTTCCTAGAAGCTGTTTAAGAACCTAAGAGCAGCCATATTGGGTGAGGCCAAAGGTCCATCTAGTCCAAAATCCTGTCTTCTGCCTGGCCAATGCCAGGTGTTTCAGAATGAAGGAAAATGTACAGGACAGTTAATCATCAAGTGATCCATCCCCAACTTTTGGCAAATGGAAGCGAGGGACACTTGAGGAATCTCACTAGACTCTTAGAGAACCCTGTTGGCATTTTGCTGTTGACCATACTTGATACAAGCAGTCTGGAGATGTGGGTTTCAATCCCTGCTCTGTTTTTTGGCTTTTGATACCACTTTGGCCAAGTCACTTCCCCCTTTCTGCTTCATCTTCCTTATAGTAAAATGGGTATAACATTGAACTTGTGTTTGGGCTGTTAATTTGTTACCACAAAGCACTAAATATTATTTGACAGACCCAAATCCTCTTCCATCCTGCTGTGGGATGGTAAGAATCCCTTTGTTTGGCACATTTCTTGGATGGGGCTCTAGATCGGGTGAAGAGGAGATTTGCAGTTTGCTTCCTTGGTATCACTGTTAAAAAATATGTTAAGGGATGGGTTGGGGAGAAATAGGGTATAGTAGGTTCAGTGTCTGGGCCTTCCACATAATGCATTTGCCTCTTCTGTGGTGGAGATCACCCTTCTCAATGCGTATTTTGGTAAGCAAGTCCTGCTGCATGTAAGTGGTCCAATGGAATTAGACAAAGAGTTCATCTCCCTGTTTCTGTCTGAGGAAATGGTGAGAGAATTTCATCCTCCTCAAAATGCAGGTGACTTCAGTGAGTGACTTTGTGCCTCTTTCCTTTTTGAGTCTAGATTCACCTTCAAGGTCTCCATCCAAAGTGGAAGTGACAGAGAAGAAGACGACAAGGCTTTCAGAGAGCAGCTGTCCCAGCAGTGCCTCACTCTGCAGCAGTTGTAAGTGCACAGGAAATTGAGCTCTTCATCCAGAGCAAAGGAGCACCCTTTTCCTTCACAGTGAAAAGCTGGGAATTGAGTTAGTAAGGCTCATAAGCAGTGACCAAATGTAGCTCATTCTCATAACCACACTATACTCACTGCAGGAGGAGGCCTCTATGATTCTATGAATCATAGAACCATGGAGCTGAAAGAGACCTCAGGAGTCATCAAGTCCAGCCCCCTGCTCTAGGCAGGACCAATCCCAACTAGATGAACCAAACACCTCTATGGATAGAGACTCCACTACTTCCCTAGGTAACCCATTCCAGTGCTTCACCACCCTCCTAGTGAAATAGTTTTTCCTAATATCCAACCTGGACCTCTCCCACCACGACTTGAGACCATTGCTCCTTGTTCTGCCATCTGTCGCTACCGAGAACAGCCTCTCTCCATCCTTTTTGGAACCTCCCTTCAGGAAGTTGAAGGCTGCTATCAAATCCCCCCTCATTCTTCGCTTCTGCAGACTACACAGACCCAACTCCCTCAGCCTTTCCTCATAGGTCATGTGCTCCAGCCCCCTAATCATTTTGGTTTCCCCCTACTGGACCCTCTCCAGTACATCCATATCCTTTTTGTATTGGGGGGCCCAGAACTGGACACAATACTCCAGATGTGGCCTCACCAGAGCCGAATAAAGGGGAATAATCACATCCCTGGATCTGCTGGCAATGCTCCTCTTAATGCAACCTAATATGCCATTAGCCTTCTTGGCTACAAGGGACACTGTTGACTCATATCCAGCTTCTCATCCACTGTAACCCCCAGGTCCTTTTCTGCAGAACTACTACTTAGCTGGTTGGTCCCCACCCTGTAACAATGCTTGGGATTCTTCCGTCCCAAGTGTAGAACTCTGCACTTGTCCTTGTTGAACCTCATCAGATTTCTTGTGGCCCAATCTTCCAGTTTGTCTAAGTCACTCTGGACTCTATCCCTGCCCTCCAGCGTATCTACCTCTTCCCCCTAGCTTAGTGTCATCTGCAAACTTGCTGAGGGTGCAATCCATCCCCTCATCCAGGTCATTAATAAAGATATTGAACAAAACCGGTCCTAGAACTGAACCTTGGGGCACTCCGCTAGAAACCGACCGCCATCCTGACATCAAGCCGTTATCACTACCCGCTGGCCCGACCTTCTGACCAGCTTTCTATCCAACTTACCGTCCATTTATCCAATGCACAGTCCCTTAACTTGCTGGCAAGAGTATTGTGGGAGACCGTATCAAAAGCCTTGCTAAAGTCAAGGTATATCACATCCACTGACTTTCCCATGTCCACAGAGCCAGTTACCTCATCATAGAAGCTAATTCGATTGGTCAGGCACGACTTGCCCTTTGCGAATCCATGCTGACTATTCCTGATCACTTTCCTCTCCTCCAAGTGCCTCAAAATGGATTCTTTAAGGATCTCTTCCATGATTTTTCCAGGAACCGAGATAAGACTGACCGGCCGATAGTTCCCTGGATCGTCCTTCTTGACTTTTTTGAAGATGGGCACTACGTTTGCCTTTTTCCAATCATCCGGGATCTCTCCCGACCTCCACGAATTTTCAAAGATAATGGGCAAAGGCTCCTCAGTGACATTTGCCAATTCCCTCAGTACCCCCGGATGCATTAAGTCCGGACCCATGGATTTGTGTACGTTTAGCTTTTCTAAATAGTTCCTAACATGTTCTTTACCCACCAAGGGCTGTCCATCTTCATCCCATCTTGCGTTACTTAGCACATTAGTCCAGGAGCCCACCTTGTCCATGAATACAGAGGCAAAGAAAGCATTGAGTACTTCAGCTTTCCCCACATCATCTGTCACTAGGTTACCTCCTTCATCCATTAGGGGCCGCACACCCTCTCTGATCACCTTCTTCTTGTTAACATGCCTGTAGAAACCTTTCTTGTTATCCTTCACATCCTTAGCCAGTCGCAATTCCATTTGCGCTTTCGCCTTCCTGATAACCCCCCGGCATTCTCGAGCTATACCTTTAAACTCCTCCCTGGTCATTTGTCCAAGTTTCCACTCTTTGTAAGCTTCCTTTTTGTGCTTAAGTTCACCAAGGATTTCCCCTGTAAGCCAGTCCAGTCTCCTATCATGTTTGCCTCTCTTGCTACGCGTCAGGATGGTTTCTTTCTGTGCCTTCAATAAGGCTTCTTAAAAATACTGCCAGCTGTCCTGGACTCTTTCTCCTTCATGTTAGCATCCCAGGGGATTTTGCCCATCAGATCTCTGAGGGAGTCAAAATCTGCTTTTTTGAAGTCCAGGGTGTGTATTTTACTACTCTCTTTCCTTCCTTTGGTCAGGATCCTGAAATCTACCATCTCATGATCACTACTTCCCCTATTAGTTCCTCCCTGTTTGTGAGCAGAAGGTCAAGCTGCGCACGGCCCCTGGTCAGATCCTTTAGCACTTGTGTCAAGAAGTTATCCCCAACATTCTCCAAAAACTTCCTGAATTGCCTGTGTACTGCCGTATTGGTCTCCCAACAGATGTCAGGGTGATTAAAGTCCCCCACGAGAACCAGGGCCTGCGATCTGGAAGCTTCTCTCAGTTGTCTGAAGAAAGCCTCATCTACCTCATCCACCTGATTCGGAGGCCTGTAGTAGACACCAACCACAACCTCACTGCTGTTGTTTGCACCTCTAAACTTAACCCATAGACTCTCAACAGGTTTTTGTCCCTCTATATACTAGAGTTCAGAGCAATCGTAGTGCTCTCTTATGTATAGTGCAAGTCCTCCTCCTTTTCTCCCCTGCCTGTTCTTCCTGAACAGTCTATACCCTTCCATGGCAGCGCTCTAGTCATGCGAGTCATCCTACCAAGTCTCTGTTACCCCAATTAAATCATATTTCTTGGACTGGGCCAGGGCCTCCAGTTCTTCCTGTTTGTTGCCCAGGCTTCTCGCATTAGTGTACAAACACCTCAGATAACCAGTTGATCGCCCTATCTTCTCCATTCGAATTGGGGTTCTCCTTTCTTGCTCGTTCCTCTTTGCATTCCTTCCCAATATCCAACTTTCCCACTCCCCTCAGGGTTTTGGTCACTGTCCCCCAACAAACCTAGTTTAAAGTCCTCCTCACTAGGTTTGCAAGCCTGCCCGCGAAGATGCTCCTTCCTCTCTTGGTTAGGTGGATCCCATCTCTTCCTAACAATCCTTGTGCCCGGAACAGAGTTCCATGGTCGAAGAAACCAAAGCCCTCTCTGCGATACCACCTGCGCAACCTCGCATTTACTTCCTCAATTCGACGATCTCTGCCCAGTCCTTTGCCTTCAACAGGGAGGATGGACGAGAATACCACTTGCGCTCCGAATTCTTGGGTCCTTCTTCCCAGCGCTACATAATCCGCAGTAACCCGCTCAAGGTCATTCTTGGCTATATCGTTAGTTCCCACGTGGAGAAGCAGGAAGGGGTAGCTATCCGAAGGTTTGATCCGTTTGGTAAGCCTCTCAGTCACATCCTGAATTCGAGCTCCTGGTAAGCAGCACACCTCTCTTAATCACAGCATGATTAAAATGTTCCCATATGGTTCTACATTCCAAACCTAGAACTCTTCATAATAATTTAAGCAAATTGTCTGCGTTACTGAACTGGGCAAAGTGGATTAGTTAAAAACCCAACCTTTTACTCCTTGTCAGTTGTTGGCTGTGTGTGTGCGCGCGCGGTTGGTGAGCACTCTGCACAGATAGCTGACACAGCAGACCTTTGATCACACCCCCAAAAACATACAGACTGTGTTGTGTAGCAAAGGCATTCAGGCTTATTGTTGACAAGTATGGTTCTAGTATTCCCATAGAGTCTACAGGACAACAATGGACCAGCTTAGCGAATGGCAGCACTTGCCTTTCCGCCCTCGTCTAGACAAAGACACCCATTCTGAGACACCTTTTCATACATCATGCAAATAAGTTATGTATTATGCCCTTCTGGTATGGTTAGTTACCACCCTTTACCTTGTACATATTGGTTTGATCAAAGCATCTCTATTCATCACACTGTCATCCTGAACTGCGATTTAAGAGGCCTGGTACCATTTTCACAGAGTGCATTTACACCATCTCTTGATATTGGGGTGTTCTAGCAGCAAACTTGTGGAATATGCTTGTACATTAATACTTAGTGCCCAGGAGTTTTTGTATTTTGTCAATACTTTCCATATTGCTACCAGGTTCTGTGAACTTGCAAACAGGCATGTTTTGTAACAGGGCCTGACTTTTGCTCATAGCTTGACTCTCTTACAAACTTTGCTTTATCTCCAGAGGGCCTAACATTAGTTCAGGCTTTACACCAGGCCTTGTGTCTCAGGCTCTATTTCTATGGCACTCACTGCTTTCCTTCCACACCTCCAGGTCCCCTTCCATCCATCTTGCATGTCTGTAAGGCAGCTCATCCCAAAGTGGTTTTTGGGTTGTATATATGGTTGGGATGTAAGCGACTAATCAACTAGTCCAGTGTTTCTCAACCTTTTTTTTTTTTTTTTTTTTTTTTTTTTGAAAGTAGGAATACTGATACCTCTAGAACCTACAATATCCCCCAGTACCTACAGTTTTCAGACGCACACAATTTTTTCTACCATTGCATTGAAACAGCTTAATCTTAGCTGGCCAGATGATTAAATTTTTGGGTGTAATAAAAAAAAAAGCTCTGTAAAACTTAAAACAAAAATTCAATTTTCTCCAAATTTCAGTTGTGTTGACGTACCCCCCCAGACTTCTCTCGAGTACCCCTAA